ACCTGAATTAGCAGCGTTATCGTGCCATGAGATAAAGTTAAGTGAGGGTAAAGACACAATCAGTAAAAAGTACTGGTTGGATCCTACTGGCATTGGGAAACCAGCGTTGGTTTACTGTGATATGAAAATGGAAGGTAAGTGATATTTCCTTTAATAAAATTTGAACTAAAGCGCTCTTCGATTGAGTATCTTAAAACGTAAAAACGAGCCAATCAGAAGGAAGGAAAATGCCTTTAAGAGCCAATGGGAACTCAGTGCAAACAACTAAACTTCTTAAAGCGCGGGAAGACGCGGGAAAATGCCGGCAACCCAGTCGTGATTAAAGCGGGTAAGTTTCCAAAGAAACTGTAGTTCTGCGTCTCTGGGAGAGTGTAACAGGGTAATTTATTATTATCAACTGATTTGATAAAGTAAATTGGTCACCGTAAAGATTATCAAAGCTGACGTTTCATGCGTTAGCCGTTTCGTCAGAAGACCAAGTCGTGATTGGTTTTATTTTTCATCTGATTGGTTGAGAAAGGGGCGTGCGTTTTCTGTACTAATCACAGAGCGAGGTAAAGCAAAACCGAAGCAATCACACTTGCCTATTTCTTAATTTTTTTTTGTATGGAGCCGCTGGCTTTCTAAGTTTACTTTCAACTACTTTTCACTCAGATATTGATGAATGCAAAAGTGACAAACCGGTCTGTGACGTGAATGCAAATTGCATCAACACCTATGGCTCATATAATTGCTCCTGCAAAGAAGGATATACTTGGGATGGACGATCATGTTTAGGTAAAAACGAAGTGATTTTTAATTGCGCTTACTTTTTCGCTTCATTTAATAAATAGATTATGCGATGCCGTGCGCCTGCCAAATAATATATTATAGCTTACGTGAAAATGGGGTAAGAGCAAAAGAGCGGTACACGAAAAGCGGCCGGGTGAGTTACCGATGTTCTTACCACATGTTGACGTCTTTTGTGATCTATCACTGGACAGAAAAAATAGCAACAGGAAATATATTTGTTTGATACGATGAAAAATAAAATGTTGTTAATGGTGACGTCATCTAAGCGTCTGCCTTCCGATAGACCATATATAAGAACCAATCAAAATGCGTGTATAATTCGGCTCATCAAATAATAATTTATTTATCATACGATACTTCTGCTTAAGTGGAAGACGTGTTGGTAATGTGAATGGAAACTGCACCATCACAGGTTTTAAAGCAAACATAAAATTTTCTATTTCTTTTTTTTTTTTAAAAAAAAGCTCTTCGTCATCCCTCCGTATCGTTTATGCGTCGGGTTTAAGTAGGCGACCATTTTTTGTTATCCACCACGCAGTGAAACCTCAAGTACGATGGTTGTTCTTAACCTGATAAACGTATCTTCCCACAGAAACTCAGCGTAGGCAAAAGTCAACGCGAGTTACAAAACTGCCGAAAAAATAAGATCATTGGAGAAAATGCGTATTGTTCTTGCGACATTTAATTACAGCAGAAACGAACTTATAGAGCAGTGATATTAGCAACAAAACGTGTACTCGTTGATTTTTATTGCACGATATTACGCGCGTTTTCTTCCGCATGGAATACTTCCCTAGCTCATTGACTTATTTAGGAAGGAGTGGCGGGGGAAGAGGAACAAATGCCTCTTAATTCGTAGCTTTCTGCTCGATCTCTCTGAAACTCCTGCAATCAACAAACACGTTACGTCATTGCAAACCCATGATGGTTTAAAATTTGAAAGTTTCAAATCATTAATCGTAAGGAATTCCGAACCGAAATCCACACGTCACATGACAATAAACCCTTATTTACGACCACGATTGCCATTTCATCTTCTAGCCGATGCATGTTTCCACTACAAAAATCTGAGTGACGCTACAAGAAAGAGCACATACAACACAAGCCATGACGTCTATGATGACGACAAACTCCCTATGGGCTGGTACCGTTTTATGGGAGCCGCAGGAACAAAAATGCCAACAAAGTGTGTTCCGGAATTCAGATGTGGCACATATTGGTCGGGCTGGCTTAAAGGTAACCTTCCTACAGTGGAAGATGGTGAAGTAACTAGGACGGTATGCTTTAGAAGAGGCTCCTGTTGCAGGTATACAGTGAAAATTTCTGTGAAAAGCTGTGGATCCTATTATATATACAAACTCTTTGCGACACCATATAGTAATATGCGCTATTGTGGTTCAGACTGAATGTCGACTAACTTCGCGTTGTGAGAGAATTTTTAGATCGGGCTTTAGTCCATTAACATGTACGTCTGTGAATATATTTAGTCCTCTTTTTTTCTCGTAGTAATTATTATTGTCATACTCAGCAACATTATAAAATAGGTTGTGGTTTTTCATTGTGGTTAATAATGCTTTCAAAGGAGAGGTATTATCGTTTGTCTCACAGTGTGGTCACTTCGGATGTGGATCGAGACGTGCCGAATGCATACTGCTAGTCTTCTTAAGACGATGAGGGCGGGGTCTGTTGTTCGAGGTTGTGATTGGATGGAATTTCACGACTATGATTGGCGCATCTTCGAAAGGTTCCCTCAGCTGTCCGCTGCCACACGGCTCCTCTGTTGTTGTGTCTGTTGATCTTCAGCATTCAGGCTTCTTAGATTTCTGCCTCACTGTCCCTGTTGATGTTATTAAGGTGAAGTCTTATGCGAATTGTCTCTTTCACCTTGCGCGTATAGAAATGGGGATTTCGATCAAAAAACTTTATTTCGTTCAAGAGCGGGCGGTGACTAGTGTTGTGGGCGAGCTCTGAAAAGGCGAAGTTCTGCGTCCTGGTGAGTCGGATGTTCCTGTCGTGCTCCCTGATCCTCTCTTGCATAGATCTTCCATTCTTATCGATGTAGGCTTTGCCGAATCCACGGGGAATCCTGTGGACTACGTCAACCTGTTTTGCTTGGTCATCAGCATCGTTCGGTCGTACTAGGTATGACCGTAGAGTCGTCTCACTTCCAATGCTTTTTTTATTATAGAATGATACTACAGTTGTTTTACTTTTTTTTTGTATATTTTGTTTTTTGCAAACTGATCCAATAAAGTGAAAATAAGGTTTAAAATCACAATAAAGGGAAATGCCATCCCATAAAAGGCGTATTAACTTATTTGTGTTTCATAAAATTTCATTTCTCTGTTAGAGGAATCTCCTTCCTTCTCGTATGGACGTAATTAAAATCCAACGCTGATGGTTTAAGTTTAATTCATCAGTGAACTAAATTAACTGTGTGAGCAGACCATGTTGATAACCACGCGAAGTTTGGAGATCACGCAAGATGCTGAAGAATTACTGCTCGAGGCGTAGCCACAGGCAAATCTGGCGTAATCAGTGCTCTTCAAATTGCTCAAGCGCTTCATATCTCCATAAACGCACAGCTGGCATATGAAGCAATTTTGTCATGACGTTTGCGCGGAATAGATTTGATGTTGTTCAGAGAGAAATTCCTTCTGCTCTGCTTCCATTCATATACACGCGTCAGCAGCGTTCTCAAGGGAATTGTGAAGCACGCTCACGCTTTTGAATCTGATTCCATGAATTTGCTACCTATGTTACGATCAATTTTATAATAATCAACACTCATTGCCATACAATAAATTTCATTCCCCTCGGTTTGGGGTGTTTGTGTCAAACTATTTATTTTTTAGGGATGTAATTTCTCTATTTAGTACCTAATTACTAAACCCTATCTTTATTTGTCATTTTAAAGGCTAAAATCAGCGAAAAGACGTTGGGAAGCTCTCGATGCTTTAACTAAAATTTGTGTCTTCATAATTTGATTCAATCTATCGCTATATGGCGGCTCGAGCGGGGTGAACCATTATGCCGAAAAAAAACTTTCTTTATAAAAATCTTTCCTCGGTATCAAGCTGTTTGTTTCACCTTCAGAGAGTAATAGTGTACATTTGATTCAATTTGCCGCTATATGGCGGCTCATCGGGGTGAACCATTATGCTAGAAAAAAACCTTTATAAAAATCTTTCCTCAATATCAAGCTCTTTGTTTCACCTCCAGAGAGTACTAATGTACCTGAAAAAACGACGTATTCTGATTGGCTGAAAACAAGGGCATTCTCAAGTAACACGAGTGCAAAGCTGTAACCCACGGGAGCAAATGACAGATAGCGCGCACGCATTCAATAATTTCGTCTCTCTTTTCTTTCTGAGATGTTGTTTTCATGTAAATTATGAAAAAGTAATTGCATAATTTCTCTCGCAATTTGGTGTAATAAGCACTCGCAAATTTTTCAAAGACTAAAAATTGCACACGCCCTATGGGTTTGTGCAGTTTTCCTATCTTTGAAAAATTTATTCGTGCTCATTAACATCAAATTACACTGAGAATCATGTTATTGCCTACACAGAACAAACCGAAACTAGGAAAAAAAAAACGGCTTTTAGCATCGCAAAGTGTTGCAAAACTGCGGATTACGGTGGTTTGGTTGAGCCTTCAAGGCTCCAGTTTGTCTGATGTGACATGACTGGAGGAAGTGGGCTAAAAAAGGTCCTCCCGCATATAGTCTTACTTGGCTGAATTCATTATGAACCCTTTCACAAATCGTTAACAGGAGTTTATTTTAATTATTTTGCTGAACTTTACAAAATTGACGGAGGAAAATCGATGAGAGGAGATGGATAGCAGTTATTCACCGAAGTGGGGTTATATATCCACAGCCATCATCGACACTGAGGTAAATAACTAATTCTGTACAACATACAAGAGACGAAAAAAAAAACTCATTACGGTCCATACACCATAAAATATTAGGAAATTAAACTTCTGACGCGCGGTTTTGTCTCTATGGCTGCTCGGAGGTGACAAGTACTTGGTAATCACTTCCGAGCTAGCCCATAATTACACGCTAAAAGGATTGTTCAAGTGTGTAGTATCTACTAGAGGAAGATATTGATATAAATATAATACTTAATCTATTGAGCGTAAGCCCTATTCCCGTTTTACGGTAACATTAGTCTCTTCTTAGTATGACTGAAAAAGCTCGGGTCTTCAGAAGTTTAATTGATGGGGAGAGACTCATTTAAAGACACTTGCATGCACTGCCTTCGTTGATGATTTTTCTTAAGGAAAGTTCTGGCGCCAGTTGTTCGAATAGCTCTCAAAATGGTTTGTCTTTCGAGGAATAGAGTCACGAATGGCGATTCGGAGCGCATTTTGATTCAATATCCAAAAACTAAAGCTAAACTAATATCGGCCGCTAAGAGGGATGAAAGAGAGTGCCCCAGGTGACCCAGAGCCCTGAAACTCAAAGTAGGCTGACAAAAGCTTTGAGCTTTGTTGTTGACGGGCTGAGAAATTGTAGCAGATGTTCTTCACCAATTTTACAGCGAAAGTGAAGAAAAACCACTAGATAAGTGGATCACTTAGACACGCTTTTCAAAGCTGCTTTATCTTATAGATAATATTATTAAAACTTGTCTCGAGTGGACCTTTTCCTTTGTGATAACTGCCACGAAAACACTGAATAACCACTTCTTTAGGTGTTAAATGCGGCTAGCCGCTTAAGAGAACCGACTCTGACTCAGTTATTTTGAGATCGAACCTTATTTGTGTTTTGGTACATTTTCGTGTATATTCGACTATTCGTTATTCTGCATCATATCAGCTCAATTTCCTTTATAATAGACAGTTCATAAATCCATTTTACTTTATTTTCCTCATGTATCTTTGTCTTTGTGCTTTCAATTTGGTCGGTTTTACTCTACTTAAATTGTGAGCCTCTCATAAAGATGTCCACACAAAGCTGTCTCCGTAAAGCTGTCCAAAGACTCCTTCAGAAAGAGAACCAAAAATGGTATTTTGTACTTTTGAAAGCTCTCCGTGTTACTATCAAATTCCATGTTGTTCCTGAGGCACACAAACGTTCAAACTGATGAAAAGCTTGTAATCCCCGAATCTCTTACACTTATTCGCTCGTTTCCGCGGTGGATTGAAGCTTTTTTTAATTCTAAATCATCCAAGTTTGAAATGTTTCCGACGCCGTCTTTTCCCCAAAAATGTTTTGATACTGTCTTCAACATGTCCTTTAAACCTTGGCGATATCTGTCAAAACGCACCAATGAAATGATGGGGGATATGGCAGAGTTTGAAATTAAAGCGAACCTTGAGAACACACCAAACTGAATCATATTACAAGGAGGTTTCCATTTCCACACGAAGTAAAACAAAATGGCAAAAATGTCAATTGGGAGGACACAACATGCAAATGCGATCATAATAGCACATACGTTCTTAAAAACTCTGCTGTTTTCGGCGCGATGCTGGGAAACCTCTGAATTTCTCAGAACCCAAAGAATTCGTGAGTAAGTAAAAATTGTGAAGCAAAAAGGTAGGAACACATTTAAAACCAAAACCACTGCCACAAATCGCTCCATCGTTTGACGATTGTCAAATTGTGGGTCCCAGCGGAAGTCGCAGGTTGTTCTATTGTTAACAGACTCGAGGCGAGCGGCGTAGAAATATATTCCGTGTAGGGATACAGATGCAAGCCATATAAGTGGAATGATGAATTTACATCTCTTTGGTGTAATGACTGCGGGGCGAAACGGATATACTATCGCCCTATATCTTTCCATAGAAATAACAACTAAGCTTTGAATCGAAACAGCTGTTGAGATATCTTGGCAGAAAAACACAAGCTTGCATAAAATTAAGCCCATGATCCCATCGATTAGCCAAGCTCGTTCACCAAATATGACTTGGCACAGTTGATTTGGAACAGCGAAGATTGAGACCAGCAAGTCTGATGCTGCCATGTTTGCAATGAGGTAGTTTATTGAAGTCAATGTGCGGGAGTTTCGTGCAGTTATGGCGATAATGGCGGTATTTCCAAGTAGCGAAGTAATAAGTATCAAACTGTAACACAGAATCTTGACCAGTTTTATCGGAAAAGACTGGTCTTCCAGATTCCCACAAACAGTTGTGTTTGCCATAGTGGTTTGAGTAGAATACCTGCCGAGAAAAGAGAAATTCATAACTGGGTTAAAATCATTCGTTACATGAAGATGACAGATCAACTTCAAAATCATACATTTGCTCACGTACTGTAAAAGTTAACATGCACTTTATGCGTATGTGAGTTCCGCCAGCGTTATTCCATTTGCGCGAAACGTCAAAGAATATTTTAATTTTCTGTGAAACGTGATGTTTAAGTTTAATTATTTTTCCGTGATCCATGATCCTTGTCGAGGAAACATGTAGCCGTGGGCGTGAAGGAGGATTTAAACTCTATTTGATTGGTGAGTCGTCTTGTTTTGCGGAGATTGAAAAACTTTATGGTTATTTTGGCGTTTCAATTAGTGTTAATTAAATCAAATGCAAAATTTGTTGATAATATCCTTGAGATTTTCCAGCAATGGTGGAAAATGAGAAGATTGAGCGATTTGCATTGTGAAATAATAAGATGCGATAATATTAATAATATCTCAAATAGTTTATTTAAAATCAATCTTATAACGGACTATAGGTTTTCTCTCCATTTAAGGATTTAATCCTGACACTTCGTGATCGATATTAGCGATGGCTTATCATGAAACTCATAACTCCTCTTGTCTTGACTAATTGTAGAAACCAGAGTTAGAGTAATTCTAAAAGCTTAATAGTTAATAATTTACAACAATTTACAATTAATAATTTACAACCCTTGAACTTGAAAACAATCCAATCCGAAGATTCATTAAAAATTTCACTTACTCCGAAGCGCTTGGAGTTTACAGGTGTTCAAAAGCTTTTTCTGTTATGGCGTGAGATTGGGGACAAAAGCGATCATTACATTTCGTATCGTGTGTTTTTTCAGTGTGAAGCAACAAAAGGTGCCGGCGACTAACGAAATTACAGGTTAACACGAAAATCAAATAACACCTAAACAAATAATTTTGGCTGCCGATTTTCAGTGAATTTTCAAAGAACAATTTTCTTTTAAGGTTCAAGACAATTTTAAG